CACAAGACTCCGAACCCCTCCCCCACTTGAGCTGTCTGACTTTAGAACTCTAGAATTTCACTGTAGACCTGGCTGGATTTAAAAACACGTGCCACCAAATTAATGTTCTTTTTTTTTCCCAGGGAAGTTCTGCAGGATAGTACAGATATGCCATGTGGGGTTGTGATGTTGTATTATACCAACACTGTACTGCCGGCGGCGGTGGTATCACGTGCTTTTAATAAAATTGCTCGAAGGCAGAGATAGCGGATCTATGAGTTTGAGGACAGCCTGGTCTATAGAGCAAGTTCCAGGACAGCCAAGGCTACGCAGAAACCCTGTTTCAAAAAAAAAAGAACAGCAAGAAAAAAATGAAAGGACACTTTTGTTCCCCTTCATACTTCTTATGGGAACGGTGGATGTATCTCCAAGGGCTGGTCCTCTTCTCAGAACACGTCCAGGGTCTGGTTGGTGGCTCTGGAAGCTGTCAGGGAAGAGCAGAGCACATGCCCCTTACTTTGTGGGTTGGATGACAGCTGGATGCACTGTTGTCGGCACCACTGGTGGAGACACCTTTAGTTTCTGTCAGAGTTAAGAATCTCCAGTGCCTTTGTAAGTGGGTGTCAGGTGCGAGAAAGGTAGTCAGAATCTCTGTCTTTGGGAATTAGTCCTATTCTGCACATAAAGATAGTGCTTAGATTTGAACATGCAGAAAAGAGGGGGGGATTTTAAAGAGATGACCTCGAGCTTAGTTCTAATTATACAGTAAAGATGGGAGCCAGGTTAGATGGCAGAGGACTTCATTCCAGCTGTTCTGGAGACTTAGGCAGAATGATTCTGAGTTTCAGACTTGCATGAGCAACTCAATGCTAAGAGCGTTTGGCCTGGTGTGCAAGGCCTTGATCCATTCTCTAACACAAAGCAGTTGGGGGTACAAGAAACCCAGCTTTTAGACTTTGAAGAGATGGTAGTTCATATTATGTGTTCTGTCTGATGTCAGTAAGGTTCCAAAGTGATCTGGGTTTGTTTTTCCTTGTGTTAATGGACATTACCACATGGTGACTGCTTTATATAAATAATTAGCAGGTGCTTAATGCCATTGTTTTCAGAGGTGGTTAATGGGCAGCCTGGAATAAATCAAAGATTAAACTTTGTAAGTAGGACTACTTCATCACTAGGCAAAGTAACAGAATGGGTGGTGTGTCGTTTCTGAACATAAAGTCTAAAGAAAACATCCTGTCCTTAGTAAGGAGTAGTGTGCTGTCACTGCGTGCTGGGCATCAGTTGGGAAGTTCAGGGTAACACATCAGACATAGTAATGGGTTCTCTGGGTATGTTAGCTGTGTAGACAAATACATTTTTACTGGCTGTACTCAATGTTTGTAGGGCAAGCCCTCTGAGAGGCTGTTGTGAAGGTTACAGGCGTGTGGGCATGTCGACCACATCTGATTGTGTGATGTACTGTCAGAGTCACACTCCTGCATCACCCTTGTACACAAGGCAAATGCTATCAACTGAGCGCTGACTTCCTGTGGTCCTAGCTTGCTAGATAAGAGGGAGCGGTGTAGTAGACAGTGTTTAAGTTTATATTTTGGAATTATCCTTGGGAAGGAATACCTATTTCTGCACAAATATGGCTGTTAAAGGGTGGTGGGTTGCATCACCTTGTGGTAGGCCATGGGAACCTGTGGTGAGAGACGTACTGTGGAGAGGGCTGCTTGTTAGGGCTTCACCGGGTAATAACTGCTGCCCTGTTCTTCCTCCTTAGTCCATCCAGCCGTTGTAATTCGACAACGAAAGTCATATCGAAGAAAAGATGGGGTGTTTCTCTATTTTGAAGACAACGCAGGGGTCATAGTAAACAATAAAGGCGAGATGAAAGGTAGGCAGTTCCCAGCATCCCGGTGTCTTGGGCTGGGTGATTCACTCTGTTCTAGGAGCCCTCTGTCTAACCTGTCTTCTGTTCTGTGCAGGCTCTGCTATCACGGGTCCAGTTGCAAAGGAGTGTGCAGACTTGTGGCCCAGGATTGCATCGAATGCAGGCAGTATTGCGTGACTCTTTGGTGCATTTGTAAAATAGATTCATTAAAAGGCTTTCTTGACACCTTCATCAATGCCAGCTTTGTAGATGGAAACTGCTGAATGCCAACTCTGTGTGACCTTCACTTTATTTTTTTTTTTTTGTTTTTTTTTTTGTTTTTCAAGGCAGGGTAGCTTTGGAGCCTGTCCCAGAACTAGCTCTTGAAGCCCAGGCTGGCCTCGAACTCACAACTGTCCACCTGTCTCTGCCTTCTGAGTGCTGGGATTAAAGGCATGTGCCACCACCACATGGTGTGACCTTCACTTTCTATCTAACTTTTGTAAGGATTATCTTTAGAGGCTGGAGATGGATCAGCTATAAAGAGCACTGGCCCTTCTTCCAGAGGACACAGGTTCAAGTCTCAGCACCCACATGGTAGCTGTAACTCCATTTAAGAAAAAAAGCCAGGGCTGGAGAGATGGCTCAGAAGTTAAGAGCATTCATTGGCTGCTCTTCCAGAGGTCCTGAGTTCAATTTCCAGCAACCACATTGTGGCTCACAACCATCTGTACTGAGATTTAGCGCCCTCTGGTGTGCGGGCATACATTGAGGCAGAATGTATACATAATAAATTTTTAAAAAGCCATTAACTTTTTTCAGGCCCCTTCTGGTATTAGACACACACATAGTGTGCAGGTGAACATGCAAGCAGAAACACACTCTTGTGTGTGCGATAAATTCTTTCTCTTGAGTCCCTAAAATAGAATGGCACATTCTGTCTTCCAACAGATGACCTATGTGAGGACACTTGGAGAGCAGCCTTTGCAATAAGGTGAAGTTACTGGTTAGTGCTTAGTGCTCTAGTACCCTGCAGGCTATGCATTGGTGTTTTGTTTGCCATGGTTGTCTGGTTCCTTTGAGCTGGAATTAGAGTTGTTTGCTACTGTGTGTGTGCTTGGAATTGAATCCTGAGTCCTCTGGAAGACCAGATGCTACTGAGTCATCTCTACACCTCGCCGCCCTCTTTTTTATTTTTTAATTTTTTAAAGAATGGGGAAGTAGCCTAGGTGGTGGTGGCTTATGCCCTTAATCCCCACACTGGGAAAGGAGATACATAGTAAACAAAGGTTATAGTAAATTAGGTGTTTGAGGCCAGCCTGGTGTACAGAGCTAGTACCAGGACAGGCTCCAAAGCTACAGAGAAACCCTGTCTTGAAAAGGGGAAAAAATGGGAAAGCAGTATCTATAAAATGATGCAGGGTATTTTTCTGTAGTTTTTGAGCCTGTCCTCCAACTAGCTATTATAGACCAGGCTGGCCTCCACCTGCTTATGCTTCCCTAGTGCTAGGATTAAAGGCATGCGCCACAATTGCCTGGTGAGACTTGGGAGGGCGTGGAGACAAAGTCTTGGTATATGTAGCATGTTTTTGCTGGGGTTAAATACCATGCCCAGCCTAAGTTTTTTCAGGTTAATTTTAGGTCTGTTGGTGCTAGACTATATCTACCATGTTTGTACAGTGCCCTGCCCCTTGAGCCTAAAGGTTAGTCAGGTCTTCAGAACTGTAGTTAAGTATGGTTGCTGGGAACTGAAGCTAGGACCTCTGGAAGAGCAGGCAATACTCCTTCCACCTGCCTCTGCCTCCAAAGTGCTGGGATTAAAGGCGAGCGCCACCACTACCCAGCAACCAGCAATGCTCTTGAATGTTGAGCCATCTCCAACCCCAAGTCAGCTAGCTATTTGCTCCATCCACTACCTCACTATTGCTGGGATTATAGAACACACCTTCACCTGGCAAACCTTTTCCTCTAATGTTGGAAGATCATTTCTATACAACATTGAACAGAAAAGCCCTTAGCTGTTTTGGGGTTTTCTTTACTATTTTCAAGGCAGGGTTTCCTCTGTAGTGTTTGGTCCCTGTCCTGGAACTCGCTTTTGTAGACCAGGCTGGCCTAGAACTCAGTGCTGGGATTAAAGGCGTGTGCCACCACTGCGCCGGGCCTTAGCTGTGTTCAGTGCCTGGATAATGAAGTAGGGCTTCCTTATCGGGGTGGGTGGTGAACTGGGGAAATGAGCAGCCCCTGTGGTGTAATGGTTAACGCTCTGGATTTTGAAGTCAGATCGAACTCGGAACCTGTTCCACTCAAACCGTGAAACCCGATATAGACGGGATGCCCGTGCATGCTTCAGCATTGTCAGGCATGTGTCACTACTTCATGCTGTCCTTTTGTTTTCTGTCTGGAATACAAGAATTGGTTCCAAGTGTGACACATACCTGTAATCCCAACACTTGGTAGCTATCAAAAAATAAGGCTAGCCTGGGGTATCTAAGAATGATTTAAAAAATGGGATGAGAGAAGCAAGGGCTCTGAGGGTCCTGCACAGAGAGTTAGGAAAAGTGAGTTGTGGTTTTTGGCTCTGTAACTAACTTGGGAACTGGGGCTTGGGGAAGGGACAATCTGAAGTAGCCCAGTCTAGTTGAGGTTGGCCTTGAGCACCTAGCAAATGCTAGGATTACATCTGAGCTCCACTTAATCCCAGCACTTGGGAGGCAGAGGCAGGTGGATCTCTTAATTCAAGGCCAGCCGGGTCTACAGAGCGAGTTCCAGGACTGGCTCCAAAGCTACAGGGAAACCTTATCTCGAAAAACCAAAAAATAAAAACAATGAGCTCCACCACGTTGGTCTGCATTTTACGGAAATCGTTCTAAACCCTTAGCTCCTTACCTGGAAGGTGATGGTCCTAAGGTGCTCTGAGTTGCCATCAAATCTAGATACCAGCTTTATAGGGGAACTCAGCTGAGAATTGAGTGTAATAAAGCCTGGAGACAGCTGGGGTGGTGGCAGTGGCACAGGCCTTTAATCCCAGCACTCGGGAGGCAGAGGCAGGTGGATCTCTGAGTTTGAGGCCAGCCTGGTCTACAAGAGCTAGTTCCAGGACAGGCTCCAAATCTACAGAGAAACCTTGTCTCGTAAAACAAAAAAAAAAAAATTAAAAAAAAAAAAAAAGAAGAAGAAAGAAACCCTGTCTCGAAAAATAAAAAGTAAATAAAAGCCTGGAGACAATGGCTGGAGATGTTAAAGCCGCACTGCTTTGGAGGGGAACTAAGTTCCGTTATCACTTTTTTTTTTTTTTTAAATTGCTTTGGCGTTTTGGGACAGGGTTCCTCTTTGTAGCCTAGAACGCTCTGTAGACCAGCCTGGCCTCATCAGAAATCTGCCTGCTTCCACCTACCTCCCTAGAGCGGAGATCAAAGGTACGCATCACCACAGCCCGACCGGGCGCACCTACACTCATGCATATAAAATGTTAAAACATTTATGGATGTGAAGTGTGCGCGCAGAGGACTGGACACGCACTACAGTCTAATAGAGTGCTTGTCTAGCAAGTATTAGGCATGAAATCTTGGGTTAAATTCCAGCACCACAGTACGATGGGCGTGGTGGGGAACCTGAAATGTAGAACTATACGGTTTGTCTCCAGGAGGTCCTTGACATACGTAACAATGCGCAGTGAAATACCCATCCAGTGCTCTTTTCTCCAGAAAGCATTCAGAGGCTGTGGTGGTTGGGATGTATCGTTTTTGTGAGTGTCCTAAGCGACTCGAAAAGGGCTTTGTTTTAGATGGGGTGGCTGTGAGCACAATGGCCCAGGCCTACAGCCTCTCGAGGCCCAAGGTATGGTCCGCGATTCCACCCTACAACCCACAGCAGGACTACCACACTCGCAGGTACTTCCGGAGCCACGTGGTTCCGCCCATTTTGCGGAAAACTGATCAGGTGGGTTTGTGAGTATCCCGGAGGACCCCGAGACTTCTGGCAGCAAGTTTTTGGGGGTTTGACCTTCGTGACCCAGGACTTCGAGGTTTCGCCCTTCCCTGACTCTGGGCCTCGCCCGCCCTGCAGGGCGCTGGGCACCTTTGAGGTCGGCACCCTGCGGCGGCTGTGCTCGTGAACTGGGGAGTGAAAGGGTACTGTGACGGAGGAATAGAGGTGCGAGCATGAGATCCTTTCCATCCAGAACCCCGTCTACAGTCTTATTTCTTGTTTCTGCAAGAGAGAGAGGGCACAAAGCCTGTCTGTCTCTCCCAACAGGTGCCTTTGTCTTTGTGATGTCACAGCGGGCGCCTTAGAGTGATCACCATAGGTCCTTAAAACCCGAAGAAACTTCCATAGAGCTCTGTGAACCAAACAAAGGGGATTGTCTTGACCTGGTACCTCAGTCCCATACTGTCACAGTTGCAGGGTTAAGGCTGGCTCACAACACCTGTCTCCCAGGCTGTCCTTGAACTGGGAGTGGGGCTGAGAATGTAGTTTAGAAGTACAGTACTTGCCTCACTTGTATGAGGTCCTGGATTGGCCTCATTACTGCATCCCTTTCACCACCCCCATAGAAAGTAAAACCAGTGGCTGGGAGTGCAGGACTGCAGCCCGCATCGTCTGGCAGGCCTTCCGAAACCGTTGCCTTAGTGTCGGTGTTGATTTCAGTGGTGTGAAGGCAAAAAGGACCTACCAGGTTGCACTCGGAGAGATCGTGGGGATTTTTGTAGTCCTTAGCGTTGTGTGTGTCCGTATGTGTACAGTGCCAATACACAGACACACAATCTGTCTCTCTGTCCCTTGTATAGCAGGAGCCGGAGGTGTGTATGTCTAACACTGTCAGTATTTTATTTATTTATTTATTTATTTATTTATTTATTTATTTATTTATTTATTTATTTATTTATTTATTGTTTTGGAGTCACAGTCTGGCTGTGTAGCCCAGGCTGGTCTCCAACTTGAAATCCTTTTTCCTCTGTGTCCTGAGTGCTGGGACTACAGGCCCATGCCACCTGACTTGAATTTTCTTTCTTTATTTTTTTATTTTTATTTATTTATTATTATTGGGGGTTCAAGAGAGCGTTTCTCTGTATAGTCATTCTAGCTGTCCGGGAACTTGTTCTGTAGACCAGGCTGACCTCAAACTCAAAGATCCACCTGGCTCTGCCTTCTAAGTGCTGGGATTAAAGGCGTACACCAACAACAACCAGTTTATTTTTTACTCTTATTTTTATTTATTTACTTGTTTTTGAGATAGGGTCTCACTACGGGTCTCTGGCTGGCCTGAAACTGGCTATATAGACCAGGCTGGCTTGGAACTCACAGATCCAGTAGTTTCTGCCTCCCAAGTACTACTACATTCAGCTACAAACACACACATGCTTACACACACACACATGCTTACACACACACATGCTTACACACACACACAGACATATGCTTTTTGCCTGCACATATGTCTGTGCACCACTAGTGTGCCTGGTGCCCTTAAAGGAAAGGTGTTGGATGTCCTGTACTAGAGTTACAGACAGTCGTGAGCCTTCGTGTGGGGGCTGGGAATTGAACTGGGTCTTCAGGAGGAGCCTCCAGTGCTCTTAACCACTGAGTCATTTTTCCAGTTCTGCCTCCAACCTTCCCCACCTTTCTTTTAAGGCAGAGTTTCATGTAATTAGACTGGTATCTAACTCATTCTGCAGCTCAGTTGCTGTTGAACTTCTGATCCTCCTGTTTCTACTCCTAAGTGTCAGAGTTCACGCACTACCGTACTCAAGCTTTTGTTTAATTTTTATTGTATGTTTGTTTGATCGCTAGTTTTTTGAGATGGTCTCATACTTAGTAGGCCAGGCTGGCCTGGAATTCACTATGTAGCCAAGCCTGGCTTCAAACTCGAAGCCTCCCAAGAGCTGCCAAGTTACCACATGCCCATGCCCGCCCCGTTTTTGTTTTGTTGTCATTTATCACTAAAGTTATATCTGTGCTGGGTGTTTTTATTTGAATAAAGATGTAAGAAAGTCAGGTGGTGGTGCACACACCTTTAGTCCCGGCACTCAGGAGGCAGAAGCAGATAGATCTCTCTGAGTTCGAGGCCAGCCTGGTGTACAGAACCAGCCCCAGGACAGGTTCCAAAGCTACACAGAAAAACCCTGTCTTGAGAAAAAACAAACAAACAAACAAAAAACCAAGATATTTGAATCGGATGAGGTGGTGCACGTACTTGGGAGGTGTTCAGGTGAGGGTCAGGATGTCAAGGTCATCCTCAATAGCTTTAAGGCTTCCTCTGACCTACAGGAGTCCCTAGCATTGAGGAAGAAACCCACCACCAACAACGTGTAACAAAACAGTAACAAAATATGTGTATTTAGCCTTTATTATAGTAGGCCTTTTTTAAAAAATATTTTAAAATATTTATTTATTTATTTATTTATTATGTATACAATATTCTGTCTGTGTGTATGCCTGAAGGCCAGAAGAGGGCACCAGACCTCTTTACAGATGGTTGTGAGCCACCAGGTGGTTGCTGGGAATTGAACTCAGGACCTTTGGAAGAGCAGGTAATGCTCTTAACCACTGAGCCATCTCTCCAGCCCTATAGTAGGCCTTTTATCTAAAGCATGTCATGGAAATCTCATGGCCACTTTCCAGTTGGTCACTAATGAGGGCAGGAGCTCAGCAATTGGCCCGTGAGCACACAGCTTGCTGGTAGCAGAGCTGGATTTAGGACCCACAGTCTAGCATCGGAGCCCTTACCTGTTGGTCACACTGCTGACTCTGCAGATTGTTAGTGCGTTTACATTTAATGTGTCCCCCAGTTCCTTCTGGCCCTACTTGCCCTTCCCCAGTGAAGCCCCAGGAAGTTTGCACCTCACCCAACAGACACCCCACCTGACAATCTTCTTTCCTTTGTTTCCAGGATCGTGGCGGTACAGGAAGGGATGGCTGGATAGTGGATTATTTCCACATTTTCGGTCAAGGACAGAGATATCTGAACAGGAGAAACTGGGGAGGGGCAGGCAAGTGTCATCTCATGTGATCCCATCATGGAAAATGTGTTCCCGAGAGGTTAGAGAAGCGGGTACAGAGAGGCCAAGAGGGTCAAGGACTGTATCCTCTCCATACATGAGCAAATAGTGTTCAGTGTACCTGCTATTCATTCCTGGAGCAGTTACTGTGTGTTAGGTACCCCTCACCCTCATTTTATCCCATGGCACAATTCAGACACGGTGTATGATTTTAAACCGACGTGCCAAGAAGGGCTGAGATGGCAGTTCAGTTTCCCTCCATCCACTCTACAGCCTGTTCCGTGTGCACGTGTGCATGTGTGTGTGTGTGCATTGCCTGTGTGCATGTGCGTGTGTGCAGTGATTGCCCCTACAGGCACTTAGGCTCCCTGAGCATGATCAGTTTAGCAGCTGCAGGATGAGGAAGATTAACTTTTTCTGGCAGGGGCAATCTTCTTCCCATCCAAGTCCATCACCTTTGGGCTCAAGATTACCATAAAGTCCTCTGCGTCACGTGATCAAATGGATCCATTTATTTTCTCCAGATGGGACAGAGGCAAGGTTAAAATCCCTACAGCTCCAGGGAGCCAAGTCCAGGCCCAGCACATACCATTCATTCATTCCCAGTTCCCACGTAAACTCACTTGGGGCAGGGTTTGATTTCTAGGATACTTCTGTCTTCCTGGACCGCACTGTTGGTTTCTTTCAAGGGGCTCAGAGCCTCTGGGAAGGAGGCCTCCAACTGAGGGGGTGGGGATCAGTTAAACCACTGGGTTTAAGTGGGGAAGGAGAGAGGGTACTGTCTGCAGGCTCAACCACTCTCCTCTTTCCCAAGGGCATTCCCTCCAGCAGGTGAGTGGACATGACTACTACAATGCCAATCTGAAGCCCATAACGACGGGCTTAAACGGCCGATTCGGCTACCGCAGGAACACTCCAGCCCTCCGTCAGCGCACGTCAGCGTTTGGAGAAGTCACTCCATTCCCTGTCTTCTGAAGATGTTGCTTTACAGTATTTGACATGAATCTCCAAGACAGATGTTTAGATGAGCTGTCGATGCTATTCTATATTTTTTAAACATGCATTTGTGTCTCCAGGTGTGTTCTTTCTTCTCTGGGGTAGGAGGAGGGAACAAGTTGGTTTCTGTACACTCAGTTTCACCTTTGGAGGGGAGAGGATCAAGGGAGCCTCTGTTTCCTTCTAGGCTGGGGTGATGAGACGGGCCCATATTTGTCCATCCTCCCTTGGCAGGGACAGGGATTAAACCCGTAGTCTAGTGCATGGAAACACCAGCATTCTGCCATTGACCAGCCTCTCTAGCTAGCACTAGGTACTACGAGCTCAATCCTCAACAAAACAAAACACTGCTCCAGGTACAAGTAGGCTCCTAGGTCAGAAGCTGGGAAGGGAACTGTGCTTGACAACCTGAGTTAGATTCCCAGTACCTACATGGTAGAAAGAGGGTACTGACTTGTTGCACGAATAATAAAAATCCAGAGATAGATATAGGGGTTCCAGCTGAAGATCAGAGAACATCAGTAATCCTCAGACTCCACACTCTACTGAGTCCCTGTCTCTTCCCCTTTATATTCCTCTCTCTGCTCAGCCAAATCACTCTCTACCTCCCTAGGGCTAGGATTAAAGTTGTGTGAGCCCAAGTACTGGGATCACCTTTGCGTGAGCTCTGTTTCTCTTTTAGACAAATTCAGTCTAGCATAGCCCAGGGTGGCCTTGAACTCACATAGTTCTGTCTGCCTCTGTCTCCTGGGATTAAAGGTGTATGCTACCACTCGCTGGCCTACGTGGCTGACTAGTGTGGCTGCTATGCCCTCTGATCTTCAGGCAAGCTTTATTTATTAAAACACAAATAATATACCCCATACTGACTGCCACAAATTGTTCTCTGGGTACTACCTGTGCTCCGTGGCAGGTGTATGCCCATATGCATACATGTGCTCAAACACAAGAGACATAGAGAAAACAAACCCAAATAAACAAAGGCAAAAATACACAAGGAATTGGCTGTGGGCCCCTAGCTGGATGTGGTGACACATGCTTGTAATCCCAATACTTAGGAGCTGGAAATGGTAAGACCCACACAACTAGGAAGCCAGCCTAGGTTACATAGTGGGAGTAGGTTCCAGACCAACAAGGACTATAGACAGACCCTGTATCAAGTGTCAAAATAATAAATGATTTCCCAGATTTATTTTTATCCCCTCTAAAAAAACAAGCAAAACACATCCATAGCTTTTTGTTTTGTTTTGTTTTGAAGACAGGGCCTATCCTGGAACTAGCTCCTGTAGACTACTAGGCTGGCCTCGAACTCACAGAGATCCACCTGCCTCTGTTTCCAAGGGCTGGAATTAAAGGTGTGTGCCATCACTGCCTGGCAACAAAATCCTAACATTTTAAGTGGACCTCGGTGTTTTGTCTCTAATCCCAGCTAGCCAAGAGGCTGAGACAGATGGACACAGGGTCAAGTCTAAACTGGCCACATAGGGAGACTTTAAAGAAAAAAAGTCCAGGGACATAGAAATATAGCTAGATGGTAAGAGCATAGAGACTTTAGTTAGCATTTTTGAAACCTTAAGTTCAATTCTTAGTTCTAAAACATAAACAAAAAACCCCAACATCATACACACATCTCCTTCCTACACACAGCTCATTAGAGTAGCAGGGAGCGCGATGACATCGGGGATGCTTACTCGCCCAAATCACAGGATTTTCTGTTCACGATGTCCATTTCCTTTTCAACCAGTTGTCGTTCTTTTTTGTTCCCACCATGATTTTTTTTTTTTTTGTTTTTGTTTTTCGAGACAGGGTTTCTCTGTGGTTTTTGGAGCCTGTCCTGGAACTAGCTCTTGTAGACCAGGCTGGTCTACAAGACCACAGAGATCCTCCTGCCTCTGCCTCCCAAGTGCTGGGATTAAAGGCGTGCGCCACCACTGCCCGGCCTCCACCAAGCAAAGCCAAAGCAGAAGATAAACACAGGCTTGAGAACACAGAGCTCCAGGGCATCAGTGTGGGTGGAACCAGCTCATAGTGAGTCACCATAAGTGGACAAGGGAGAGGACTATGACAAGGTGAGGGGGTATAGCTCAGGGGTAGAGCATTTGACTGCAGATCAAGAGGTCCCCGGTTCAAATCCGGGTGCCCCCTTCCCTCCTAGTTCTTTTATTCCCACCACGCCTTGTAGCCTGGTCTACAAGAGGTACAAACCCTGTCTCGAAAAACAAAACAAAACAAAACAAAAAACAACCAACCAAACAAAAAGCAGCAGCAAGTAGGCAGATTCTAAACTTGGCCGAGGATGTAATCGTAATTTCTCTCTTTTGTTTTTGGTGACACGGTTTCTCTGTGTAGCTTTGGAGCCTGTCCTGGAACTTGTTCTGTAGATCAGGCTGGCCTCAAACTCAGAGATCCTCCTGTCCCTGATTCCCAAATGTTGGGATAAGAGGCATGCGCCACCACCTTGTGGCCAATCTTGGCCTTTTTTTTCCTCTTTCCTCCCCCACCCCACCCCCAAGACAGGGTTTTTCTATGTAACCCTGGAACTCACTCTGTAGACCAGGCTGACCTTGAATTTACAAAGATCTGCTGGCCTCTGCCTCCCCAGAACTGGGATTAAAGGCACATGCCACCACGCCCAAGCAGCCTTTTCTCTTTTTGAAATCGGTTGTTTTAGACCAGGATAACCTCAAACTTGCTGCCAATGCTGGCCTTGAACTCCTGATCTTCCAGTCTCCACCTCCCAAGCGCGAAAACCGTGGGAGCGTGCCACCACGTCTGACTTTTGGAATTTTGTTTGACGGTACCTATGTCTATAAAACAAGCCGGGATTGAGGGAGTTGGCCGAAAGCCCAGTTTTAGAAGTTGGTTTGGAAATCCTGGTGTAGCGGCGCTCTAGGAAGGCGGCCTAAATTGGCGGATACCGACGTCTGGCAGAGTCGCGTTTCTACAGCAGGGCCCTGATGCGTTACCAAGGCAACAGAACCTTTCCTATGGCTTTTCAGCAGTTGGGGGACCTTAGACGAGGTGGTAACGTGAAACGACCAATGTGAGACCACCTAAGCTCTGAGAGTGGGTAGAAACTACACACAGCTCTAGCTAGTCGTGTCGATTTAGGGCTAGCACCCGAACGTCATCGCCCCGAGACGCTGACGCAGGTACGTGACGCCACTCCCGGAAGTGCGGGCTAGAGCGGGCGGGGAAAGGGCAGCTGGTTCCTTTAGGGATTAGGTCCTGAGAGGCGGTCTCAGAAGTGAGACCGTTCCTCTCCATCTTCGCTGAATCTTTCAGGTCCACGGACTGAGGAAACGTCTCCACCGTCATGGGAGGCGGAGACCTGGTAAGTGCCGGAGGCCTAGGCGGTTAGGATTTAGGCCCGAGACCCACTGGCGTCGGGGACGGAAACTAGCCGGGGTGCGGTGGAAGTCGGGAGTAGCAGTGAGTAACCCTGGTAATGAGGTCTTGTTTTCAACACAAGGGGGTGGTAAACCTGGAGACAAAACGCATTGGTTAAGGCCACGGAAGGACTGGGATGAGATTTGGGAAGATGTGCGCCAAGTGATGTTTGCTGGTGTCTGTGTTTGATGATTGGCGGGGGACAGGGGGCTTCCAGGAGGGGAAGTCTGAGTTAGGGAGGGGGACAGTTGGACTCATGGTACGGAAGGAGGCAGATCTTGGTACAAAGACTATATTTTGTGTATATTATCTTGGAACATAGCCCCTTTTCTTAGCTAGGAGTTTACACTTGTATCGTGGACCTGGACTGTGGAAGGATGGGCTCCTGTCCTCCCGGATTCTGAGCTGTGTTGTGTGGAGGAGTCCATTTTAAATCTTGTCCATCATTGTTTCATCCCCTACATCCGTGCTTTGCTTTGATCTGTAGCGACAAGGCAGCTGTCTTCTGTATTTCTATATTTTATTTAAAGGCTAAGTGGCAATTGCTTTTTAAGTCGTGTAGTTCATTTGTGGGGAACTAATACCTTAAATAAAGTGGAAGTATCCACGAAGCACAGAGCTAGATTAGAAAACTATTGATCTTCTCAAAGTGAAGCTAATTGAATCAATAAATGTGTTAGTGTAGATATCCATCCATTAGGCTGAGTTTGCCAGGTATCCTTAATTTGATCAAATTCCAGGACTCCATCAGAGTTGGTTTAGTTTATTGTATTCATGTAACTGTGTTGATGGACAATGTATTGGTTCGTTTCTCTGATGCCGTGATAAAACCAGAAGCAGCATTCGGAGGAGAGGGCTTATTGCATCTTACAGGTTAGAGTCCATCATTAAGGGGAGCCAGGGAAGAGCACAGGTAGTAACCTGGAGGCGGGAACTGAAACAGAAACCGTGGAGGAGTGCTGCTTACTGGCTCGCTTCCCTTGGCTTACTCAGCCACCTTCCTTAAACAGCTCAGGCCCACCCACGCAGGGATGGCACTGCCCACAGTGGGCGGGGCCCTCCTGCATCAATTAGCCGTCCAGAAAATGCACCCACGAACATTCCCACAGTCTGGTGGAGGCAGTTCCTTTATTGAAGTTGACAACTAAAACTAGTCATCCCTGACAGGACGGTGCTAATCTAGAAACTTTCTTTTCTTTTCTTTTCTTTTCTCTTCTCTTCTCTTCTCTTCTCTTCTCTTCTCTTCTCTTCTTTTCTTTCTTTTTTCCTTTTTTTTGGGGGGGGGCTTTTTGAGACAGGGTTTCTACATGCAATGGTGTGAAAGTGTCAAATTGCCCAGGGACTAGATTTATACACACTTATGAGCTGCCACGTGGATGCTGGGAATTGAACCCCGATCCTCTGAAAGAGCAGTCAGTGCTCTTAACCACCGAGCCATCTCTCTAGGCCTAATCTAGAAATTCTTAACCTCAGAGGTATTGGCAGTTTGGGCTCGATAACTGTGCGGTGTGGGGCTCTCCTGCACATTGTATATTCAGTCACAAGCTGCCATTAGCACTCGAATCTCCCTCAGTTGTGACATCTACAACTTTCTCCAGACATGATTGTCATCTGTGCCCTGGGATGGAAAGGAGGACTTTTGTAGGACAAAGTAAGGGTGTGTGTGTGTGGTGGTGAAGAAAGTCCTGCTCAAAGGATAGAATGTAGGAAGGAAGAAGGAAGGAACAACGTGGGAAAGGGGGAAAGGCAGT